GGGGCAGAGCCACGTGCTGGGCGAGGAGGTGACGGTGACGGTGACGCTGCTCGACTCCAACCACTGCCCCGGCTCCGTCATGTTCCTCTTCGAGGGCGCCTTCGGCACCATCCTCTACACAGGCACGGGGCAGGCCCCCGCCGCTGCCGCCGCGGCCCCCGCCCCGCCCTGACGGCCCTGTCCTTGCAGGGGACTTCCGCTACACCAGCACCATGCAGGGCGAGCCGGCGCTGAGGGGCCGCCGCATCGACCGCCTCTACCTGGACAACACCCACTGCCACCCGCACCGGTCCCTGCCCTCGCGGCAGTGCGCCACGCGCCAGGCCGCCCACGTCATCCGCACGCACCCGCGGCACCAGGTTGTCATCGGTGAGTGCTGCCTCACGCCGCGTGCCCTCGCCTTCCCCCCGTCACCCTCAGCACCCTCCCCTCGGCAGGGGCTCGTGCCCCCCTGCCCCATCCCCGGTGCGCTGCTCATGGCTCTCCTCGCAGGTGTGTACAGCCTGGGGAAGGAGACGCTGCTGGTGGACCTGGCAGTGGAGTTCAGGACCTGGGTTGTGGTGAGCCCCTGGCGCCTGGAGCAGATGCGGCTGCTGGAGCTGCCTGATGTGTTCACCGCTGAGGAGGGGGCCGGCTGGATCCGTGCTGTGGATGTCACTGAGATCCGTTGGGATACCCTTGTCAGCTGGAACACGCTGCAGCCTACCATTGCCATCCTCCCTACCGGCAGGCCCGTGAAGGTCACCCACCCCAACATCCACCTCGTTCCGTACTCAGATCACTCATCCTTTTCGGAGCTGTGCGAGTTTGTGAAGTGGCTGAAACCTTGCTCGGTCATTCCAATTGTGAAAGGTGGCATGTGCCAGGCTTACTTTCAGGAATACCTAAGTTCTGCCCCTCAGGCACTTCCTGACCTCAAAATCCCAAAGCCCCTGCAAGAGTCGGTACAGCAGCAAAGCAAAAGGAAGGGGCAGGGACCCCTATGTGTCTTGAAAAGAGCTGCCCAGCATTCTGTGCCCCGAGGAGTTGTTTTTGAGCCCCCAGAGAAACTTACTGAGGAACCTGAAGAATTCATGAGTGTTAGGGTTCTTCAGCAGAACTACTGTGAGTCAGCTTGCTGCTCGAAAGAAGGCTGCACTTGTCACACGGGCAAGGAGAAAGGGAAGGAAGAGCTGAGTGGAGAACAGCTAGGAGTAGCAAGAGCAGCTAGCGCGGTTAGCCAGGCACCTGTTTCCAGTGAGCACTTTCCAACTGGATTTGCAGAGCAGTATTTACTCACTCCCTTAAATGTCCTAAAGCAGAATTCCTCACAGACGTTTGACAGGCTGGTAGAAGATTTCTTTAGGAGGGGAGAAGCCTCCTGAAAAATTGTGTGGCGCTTGCCAGTGCCAATGCAGTTGACAGCAGTGATTTTAGAGGTCTTACTACTGCATCCCATTCTCTGCGTTCAAGTTTCCCATCGGAAGA